GGATGGTCTATGACTCTTCCTGTCAAGGTCCAAGGGATTCTCCAAAGCTAAATTAAGAATTACACACTAGAGGCTGAGTGAAAATGATTGATGGAATTCTTAAAAAATTCTAGGGATTATTTGAGTCCATCTTTGCAGCGATTGGATTTAGAAACAGAGAACTTTTATTTAGTTTATTTGTACAGCGCCAATTCACAACACATGTCATCTCAAGGCACTTTACAGTTCACCAGATCATGCAGTCAAATTGATTCCAAGTTTTCTATCTAAGGAAAACCAATTAATTGCTTCGACTCAAATTAGACAAAACGATTATGACTAAGGTAGATAATGATTATGTAGAGTAGTAATGAATGGAGAGAGCTGACTTTCTCTGAGAGAGGAATGTGATCCATAGCAGTTAGAGGAGAAAGCTTTAGTCAGAGAGGGCAAATGAGGCTGAAGAGTCAGGCAGGTACTGAACTGACTCTTTTACCTGAGCTCTGTACCTATCTGACCTCATCTGCCCTCTCTGCAGGTATATTCAGGGCAATTAAACTAGACTGCAGGGAGAGTATGAAGATGGATTTGTTTCAATAATACGTATGGTTGTATTTTAAATGTGAATATCTGTGAAGAGTTAGACAGCGTTTTTTGTTTTACTTGTACAGCTAAATATTCAGCTGTAAAAAAAAAAACAAAAAAAAACCCTTAAATACTAAAGAATAAACAAACAACTGAACATGGAGGCAGGAAATCCAAAAATCAAAACATGAAAACAAAGTCAAACAAACCAGAAACCATGGAGACATCAGGGGGGGGACACTATCATGAGGAGGAAGACTCACCCCGAAATCCCACATACTCCGTCAGCGCTCTGCCCCGCTACGCTCCAGACCGTCTGCGCAAAGCAAAACCTACATCCTCCGTTCTGGCTCCCATCCGCTCCGCTCTGAGTTCCTTGGAGATCGTAGAGGGCATGCGCGAGATGAACCAGGGTTTCCGCGGATCATTAAAAATAATTACAATTCATACATTTTTTTTTAAATCAAGGCCTTAATTGGCACTAAAATGAATTAAATATGTTTATCGTGGCATAATTAATTAATTAATTTGCGTGGAACTGATCATAAAGCCGTATGTTCGGAAAGGAAGCGGAGAAAAAGCTAGAGAATATATATATATGTGTGTGGGTGTGTATTTACATACATACAAGAGTCATGGAACTGTGCTTACAGCTCCTTCATATTTCATGTACACTAATAACTTGTGTACACATGGTACTTGTTAGTGGAATTAAAATCCTTTCTAATAGCATTCAAATAGCATTAAATTAGAGTCACTTATTCCTGTATGAACCCTGTGAGCACTTTATTTCATATGGCATATAAATAAAATCCCACCATCATCCAGCATATGTTCAGTTTCTGCCGAAATGAATTTTTTTTTTGTGGATTTTTGTAACAAGGATAACTAGGATAATTCAAAACAGCTTTTTTTGAATGAACTTTGTTTGTTCTCTACTCCCAAACTCAGCATCTCTTCATCCATTCCTGCAATAAGAAGTTTCTTTTGAATGGATTTGATTAAACTTTAAGTCCCTCGGTATAAAATAAATATTTCGATGGAGATGAGAAATCTGCTTCCTCGTTGGTGAATAACCAATAGTTTGCATCCAATCATTTAAATGAATGGTGTTAGTTTTTTTTTATTTATTTATAAGAATTATGCTATAATCTCTAGTTACCGACCTTTGCTACCATATTTTAATTTGACGAACCGGAATTTCTCGATGTTCTTTTTCCTTTTTGGTGCGATTGCAATTGGGGGTCTTGACCTGGCCGGACCGGAGCAGAGCAAAAAATAGCTCGGCTCCGTATTTTGTCGGTGACGGACGGAGAAGACGTACGTGGACGGGACGTGCGACGGAGTAGCGGTGGATGTGGAACAGCTCTCACTGATTTACATGAAAGACAAGCGCTCCGTACGACGTACGTCAGCGGGGCGGAGCGGAGCGCTGACGGAGTATGTGGAATCTGGGGGTCAGGGAGATGGAGTTGGAGGAAGTTTGACGAGGAACCAGCCCTGAGGAACTGAACAGAAAGAGTATTTATGGGAGACTGAAACAAAGAGAGAACCAACAAGCAGATTGGGAGCAGGTTTGAACAGAGCAGAACAGGAAAGGAGCTAGGGAAAAATGAGAACACAAGAGGGCAGCAGAGGGCAACAAATAAAAACCTAAAAACTGAAAATAACCAGAAACACAACAAATTAAAAATTAAACAACTAAAACTAGAAAACATGGAACAAAGTAAAACAGAATACACAAAAGAAAACATAACAGAACCAAGACTATGACAGTGTGATTGAATTCCAACTAAATATTTAGTTTTACAAGTAAAAAAAATGCTGTGCAAGTTCTTCTATTGAAGTAGAAGTAGAAGATTTAGTCATCCTACTGCTGCTGCTTTAACTCAACCATTTGAGTTGGTTCCCTTAAAACAACTGGGTTTTAAAGTACAGTCCAATTAAATATAAAACCGCTTGAGTTGTTATTATACCCAAATTGGGTTGTTTATATAATCTAATCAGGGGCTCATATTGATTGCCTTGCTGGGTCCTTCTAACACAGCAAGTTAGGTTGTTAATATATTGTTATTATTATCATTTTAAATATATTATAATTATTATTATATCATGCTACAACTATGCTAACCATTTTAGTAACCATTAATATTGCCATTTCAATTCATTATTTTCTTGATGAAATATATTCTTACACCAATAATGTTGCAATGCATATTTAATAAAATATAAAAAATCTACAAATAACACAAAACATTTAGAGGGAAAAAAATGTTTAAAAAAAAAAAATGTTAAAAAAAATGTCAACATTTTACTTCCCATCCTTAAATTACTAATTTTTTCTTCAACCAGATAAGATTCAAGTTCTTGTTTGTAATTTATTTTCTGAATCAGCTAATTTAATACTTTTCAGCCTATGCTGTGAACTTTGGCGTCATTCTGCTCTCTTTCTGGACAGGAATGAAGCTTTTCTGTTTGCTGCTAATGCATAACACGCCTGACATGTTTCTGGGCAGTATGTGGCCCCCTTTCAAAATTTCTTTATACATTTTTCGAGAAACTTGGGAGACATTATATTAAGACCCTTCTAGCGTCCACATTCAAGACATTTTTTGATATCATGTATGGTTTGGCTGTGCAGCTTTTAAGATGAGTCTGTTTCTGCCATTTTACTGCCAAATGATTCTACCCTACAAAATCTTCAGATGATTCAATTGTTTTCTGCAGTTTGAACTTTCTGATGACTTCCTATCACATTTTCATATGTTCTTCAGTTAATTTCAGCTTTTTTCATTCATCAAAAGCATTCCCACTTGCTGTTTCTCCGAAACAGCTTTTTCTAGTTATAGTTATATAAACGACCCAATTGCCGTACCAAATTTGTTGGGTTAAATTAACCAAACATCTGTCCAATATTCAACTAGCACTGGATTCCGAAACTACCAAAATCTGGAATTTTTTTTATGGATTTGTTTATCAGATTAATTGTTTTGAAAGATAAAAACAACATTGTGGAACTCCAGCCTCTTAACCTATGTGGTGACATTTTTGCTGCTTAATCTATCTCTCTCATTAGATATGGGACGTAGTGGAGCAATATGACACGGGCTGCACAGCAGGTGGAGGGAAGGATGCCATGAATGTGTTCTATGATGCAGGGCTGTTGTTTGAAACCAACTTTGGTGGAACACCATACAGAATGGGTACTTCAAACTAACTTTGCTTTAACTAAGTACGGTAATGTCGAAGTAAGACCCTTTGTTTTTCAGCAATTGCTCAGCAAATCCTAGTTTTGTTCCTCTATATTTCCTGTCATTTTTATTGTCAGTTACTCTTACTATTAATTTTACACCCCTAAAATTATAACAAGCTTTATATTACAGAGGTCTAAATATAGGTGTATTATATGTGTTCTGCTTTAGACATTACATCATAGGAGAGCAATCCTATTTTTTAGAGCAAACACCAATTTTTAAATCTCTCACACAAATTCTCACTTAGTTAAATTAAGAGACCATCGTTTTATTTTACCTTATTATACTGTAGGACAGGCAGACACACATCTATTAATGACATCTCAATAGAAATCCTATTTGTGAAGGTTAATCTTTATTATTAAACCTTATGGCTCCCTGGATTTGAATTGATGGAACACATTACAAAAGATCAGTTTTCTGGCTTTTAAGCATAACTGTGTGTCACATTTTTACTCATCCCAAAAATTGTATTTGTGTCTGTGTAAAACCGACTACTGCATAAAAGTTGCAAATAACTGAGCCAAAAATTGGTATGGATTTTTAGGAACATACCTTCATGTTTGCTGAAGACAAGTAAATGCCTTCTTTAACAAACATTTTATGACCATACGAGAGAAAAACGAATCTTATTTGACCACAGAGAGAAGTAGGTAGTGTTAGTAGTATCATGCTGGGGATCTGTTTACTGCTAATGGTTTAACTACAATTTCACAAAACAATGACAGAATATTTCTTTCAAATTCTTCAAATTTATCTTAGATAACTCAATGGACCATTGGACCTATTTAGGTCATTTCCATTGGACCCATTTAGCAGTTGCAGTAGTAAACTGATCACAGAAAAACATAAAAACTGGTGTTAGTATATGACTGTCATGTTGGGTTATTGGAGCTAAACCCAAACGCAGAACACCACGGAGACAGGGTAAAAGTTCAACAGTTTATTTGAAAAGACACAGTCCAGATAATTGTACTGCAGCAGGAATGAGTCCAGGGTGGTCACACAGGATACGCTGATCTGAGGTTCAGGCTGAGCGGAGGAAAAAGGAAACCAGAAGAGTCCAGAGGCAGAGAGATTTAGCAGAAGGCTAGGCAGCAGCAGGGCTAGGCTTCTGACTAGCTGAAATTCAGTCCTTGAGTTGCTCTAAGTTCTCACCCAGAGAACAGGCAGGCAGATCCAGACCGCAGATCTCCTGGTTTGGCTAACAAGAGCAGGAAGACAAGTTTCTGAAGATGAGCTCCTCCAGAGCTCATGAGATGCGGCAGGCAGATTTCAGCAAGGGAGACTCCTCCAGAGTCCCAGGGTTCAGTCAGGTTTCTTCCGTGATTAACAAACACTCTGGCACCGGAGTGAGGTCCTCAGCCCTCTTAAGTACTGGTCTCCTGATGAGCAGATGAGGAACAAGTGGTGAAGTTAGCTCCAGCCTCAGGAGATCCAGTACGCCCTCTGGTGGAGAAAGGTAGACAGAACCCCAGATCCCAACAATAACAAAAATCCCCAGGAAGGGATCCTCGGCGCCCTCTGGTGGGCAAGCCTCAGGATCCCAACACTATCTATGGCTAGCGAAAGATTTTCTTTGTAAATTGTTCTGTCCTGATCCCTGCTGAAAATGTATAAAAGCAAGATCCTCACCTGGGTAAAAGAAGGCTTTAATTACAGTACCTCTGCCAAATCTGCCAAAACAAACAATGAAATACCTGACGGTGATTATGATAAGTTTGTTAAAAAAATAAGGTTTCTCTGAAATTAGCGGTTGAGCATTATTTTTGGGCATAGCTTGAGGAGATTTAAGCTAAATAGATTGTGACAGCAAGGAGGAAAAAGACAAACATGGTAAGTACAGCACAGAAAGGCCAGAAAGAAGTAAACAATGAAATATCTTCTTTATAGCAAATAAAGAGAATAAATTAAGAATCTAGGCCGAAGCATGATTGGACTCATATTGAAATTCAAACATTAAATGATCACAAAAATTGGTTACTTGTTACCTAATGTATAACAAATAAAAAATCTACAGTATTACCTTGATTCAGCTATTTTAGATTTTACTAAAAAAAATACATTATCCAATGTTGAATACTTGTTTGTTCAACAAAGATTTCTGTCATACTGAAAAATGTTTGATTTTTTTGTGAAAAAAGACTCCAAAAACACTTTATCAGGTTATTTAGGAGGGATCATGAAATTTGATGATAAAATGTGTCTTTGGTCTCTTAACTTCCAGATGTAAAATGTCCTGCACCAACCAGGAGGAAACGCGAAAGAACTATCACGGAAGTCAGAACCACCTTGAGTAAGAATTACTGTTTTGGCTGACCCTAATAGGTACTTAGGCACTGCATTGATTACATGGTATGAGCATTAAACAGTAATAATGCTTTATCTACCAAATTATGCATTAGAATTTGAAAGCATTCAAATTTAATAAATTTTTCTAACAGTGTATTGCATTAGTGTGAAAGAGTATTAGAGGTATAATTAGATTAGATTAGATTAGATTAGATTAAATTCAACTTTATTGTCATTACACAGGTACAGGTACAAGGCAATGCAGTTTAGGTCTAACCAGAAGTGCAATAGCAGCAAGTGCAGGATAAATAATGGTTCTATAAGTACAGGACATGGGTTTCTACTGAATGAGTATAGAGATGAATACCATTATAAAAAATGAAATATATAGATCACTAGTGTTATGAACTAAATTTACAGTTGGATATGTACCAAATATAATATACAGGTGGATATTACTGTAAAAAAGGTTTTTACAGNCACTTTTCATGCAGTGAAATGCTTACCCTCTGCCATGGGTCGAAGATTGTGTTCATCAGTATGGTCAACACGGTTTGTGAGCAAGTTTCATCTACTGAAGAATTATTTGTAAATTCTATTTTCTGAGAGAGCTAGGGAGCTTCTGCATTTATAACTACCTTTGGTTTGTTCTCTTATTATGTTATGAGTTTTGGACTCCAAAATGCACAAGCCACATTCCAACACCTTAAGAATATGGTTGTGTCTGGGTTGGAGGGTTGTGCAGTATTTCTTGATTATGTTGTTGTCTTTATAAATACATGGAAAGAACATATGGCTCATGTTAGTAAGGTGTTTGACAGACTGACTGAAGCACACCTGCCTATAAATTTGGCCAAGTTTGAATTTGCTTTGGCCACTGTTACGTATATGGGTAAGGTGTTGGGGCGAGGGAGCGTGCAGCCAGTAGAAACCAAAGTGACTGCAATATTACAGTATCCTGTTCCTGCAACAAAAAAATAACTCCAGCAGGTTCTAGACATTGTGGGGTACAGTTGCAGATTTTTGTAAAAAACTTTTCTACAGGGGTTACTCCTTTGACAGATTTGCTGAAAGAAAATATTAAATACATTTGGTCCCCTTCCTGTCAGACAGATTTATATTATGTTAAATCTCTCCATTTTTCCCTCATGCTCTTTTGGTTCAACGCATGGATCGCCACTTTGTCCTGCTTCTAAATGGTAGTGATGTAGGTGCAGGCGCCGTGTTATTCCAGAAAGGTGATGGTGGGGTTGACTGACCTGTGATTTTTTACTCTTAAAAAAAATTAAACCTTTTCATTTGAACTAATCTGTGATTGAAAAAGAAACATTTGCACTTACTTGGGTTTTATAGATTTTTGAGGTATATTTAGATTTAGAGTTTTGGTTAGGTATTTACCTGTAATGGTAAAGCTAAGGGATACGGTCAGGGTATGGCAGCAAGTGTGTTACACTATAGGGACAATTCCCCAGAAACACCTACTAACTGGTGCAAATGTTTGACTCCATCTTGCTTGATTTAAAGAAAGTGGAAAGGACACAACACTCAGGTTATGGAGTACTATCTTAAAGGCAGAACTCTTATCTTATCTAAAGAAAACTGGAATATGTGTTCTCATTGCATGTCTCTGACCTTTTTTCAATTTTCAGTGAGTGGATACGGAGACAAATTACAAAGAGATTGCTGTTTGGATGGTATGAAGGAAATCCCAGTATCATACTCCTGTGAGAGGCGCACTGAGTACATATTGGATGGCCTAGCATGCAAACAGGCTTTCCTGCATTGCTGTGAAGAGATGAAAAAACAGAGAGATGAGAGAAAGGCAGAAGTTCTACACCTAGCTCGCAGTAAGAGTTTACTAGAAAAACAATTGGTCCCTGCAAGTTATTCTTAGTTGCAATAAAAATTATTCCTTAAGTCAAAATCAAAACGTCAGTTGTTTTTATTTCTAACTCAGGTGAGAAAGATGATGGTTACATTGACAGAGAAATAACAACACGCTCTAACTTCCCTGAAAGTTGGCTGTGGAATGACATCCAACTAAAATGCCCCAAAGACGATCAAAACTGGTAAGTAGGACACAAATCAAGAAACTGTTCCTAGTTTTAAATTCTATCTTGCAAAAATGATATTTATTTTTTTTCTTGCAGTACGATTGTGTCAACCGAAATATCTAAACCCTTACCAGACACAATCACAACCTGGCAGGTGACTGGCATCAGTCTGTCAAGAACTCATGGTATGCTCTGGGTGTCTGCAGAGCTTAATTTTTCTTACAATTTAGAAGAGCTCTCCATTATTAGTTTTCAAAGGAGCAATAAGTAAGAAATTTACTGTGAAATTAATCAAATATCATTCTCATTTGTTAACTATAACAGAGGTAACATTCCCTGTAAACAACTGGTCGTCTCCATCAACAAACTCTTAGTCAAGTTTTTCTTCACTTCCAATGGAGATTTATGGGATTCATTGCACTAAGCAGGTTTATCAAACTCAAATCCTCAACTCTGGTTTAACATAGGATTGGACTTTTCAGTTTCACGCTGAAAATTACAAAGGGGAGGAAGATGGTGAAATAGAAGATTGCTGCTTGAGTAAATGTGTAAGTTTATATATGAAGTCACTATGGCAGGCTGTTTTGACATTTATTAATGTAGTGAATCAGAACAAAGGGACCCAGTAATCAGACAAGACAGACAGTGGAATAAAGCTTTTATTTAAGCAACGAGCTGCGGATCTGTGTTACTAGTGGATAGGGTGCATAAGGCAGGAACCTCTTTTGGAGAGAAACAGAGGTTAGTGACCACAATAATCTGACCGATGATTAATGCGTGAGTCACTAAGCTTGTTTACAGTTCAGTTTGTGCCCAGAGAATGATTCCAGCCGTTCGGCTGAGAAACGCGGACGCTGCCAGAGAGTTCCAGACGCTGAAGCATAGAAAGCTTCAGAACTAGCAGGAGACCAGATCCTAGCAGAAGAAGGAAGACAGGACAATCCACAGAGCTAATTTAAGAGGCAGATCCAGGTTTAGTCCACAGTAGAATCCAGTAGATGTCCCAAGACAGGTCAGGCAAACAGATCAGGAGAGGGACAGGTTAGCTCAAAGGTCCAAAAGCCAAACTGGTCAGGATTCCACAATCAGAACACAATAAGTGACACTAGAAAGACTCTCACCCAAAGGTTCAAGAAAAATATGGCACTTATAGCTGGGACCATGCGGCTTAAATGGAGGCACGAGCAGGTGGATCAGATTATTAGTAATAAGAAACCAGACACAGTTAGACAGGTGAATGAAATGAGCAATTAAGCCAGCAATCAACACCAAGGTCATGACAATTAAAAGCACTCTCCTGTCTGTTGTTCTATTTGTAGATCACTAGAATAAGATTCTTCATAGTAAAAATCACACTCCTAGTCAGAATTCTAATAACAGATTTTCTAAATTATATTTTTGACGGCAGATACTGAATCAAGAGAGTAAAAAAAATGTAAGAACTAAGTTTTACATACATATAAAACGTTTACACATTATAAGTGGCCATTTTGACATTTATCAGGTTGACTGAATATGTATTTATGGTATCTAAAAAACATTTCTTCAATGTTGAATACTAATTGAGTACTGAACAGTAGTTTATTTTCTTAACTCTGTAACTTATTCTGTTATTTTTATACATTTTCTAAGATCCACATTGTGTGACAACTTCTGCTATAACCCTTTGCTGCTGTAACACCACAATATCCCCCATTGTGGGACAATAAGGGGATTTTCTATTCTATTCTATTCTAGTAACAATAGGAATTATGGAGATCTGAAATTAATTTCTAGACATCTAGAATGTTCATTGTAGAGATGAAGAACATCATATTTTTTAAATGGTAATTTCGACAAGAACAGTTTTTTCAGATATCAGATATACAAATACAGTCAAACTAAAACATATCAAAAATGGCCTGCGATAGCCTGCAGTAACCATGATAACATTATAGGCAAAACTAGTTTATTGCTTGATTGGTAGTGGATCAGTGTATCTACTTAGGTGAAATCATCCCACAGAAGGTGAAGATGAAGTCTAAAAATGTTGTTTATGCAGGTAGGACCTGTGCATCATTTCATGGGTTTCCTCCTCATTTAGATTCTCTCTTAATTCACACAGTAAATAAGTGTCCAATAAATGGACATTATTAGCGGTTATCAGTCCAATCCTAACCTAAAGGTAATTCCTTTTTACCGTAAAATGAATTAATCTATTCAGCCTATATATCATCTGAAAAGAAGTCCAGGTTAGCTCTGGGGAGAATATTACTACAATAACAGAGACGGAGGTTGAGTAAACTCTCTTTGTGAAACGAAAAACTCAGAGTTTCCCTAAATTCAGATAAACCTGCTTTGCGAAAGAGACTTATGGTCTAGAAGTACTGCAGTACAGTGTGTAGCCTTTGATTACTTTGTGGTTCCTGAGTCATATGAGAAATCCATCTGTGCTCTNCATTTACATACCTAATACATACATTTTTGCTGATTTGTGTCCAAAAAACAATAATGTTTTCATTATTTAGATTAAAGTTATGTTTTTATACTCTTGTTAAAGTCCAATTTTATTTGCAGCCTCTTCAATAACCGTGCCAAAGTTGTTTTTTTGGGGGGGTTTTGGACATGTATATTAAACACACGGCAGCCTGTTTGAGTCGCAAATCAGATCACCTGTGGTACACTTTAAAACATGCAGCAGTAATGCAGCACTTTTTCAACCTCACACTGTGTTGTATGGAAGTGTATTGCATTCACCAAAGAAAAATAAATCAGACAGCAAATCTCATAATTAAGATATCAGTATCTCATAATTATGAGATGATATCTCGAAATTACGATTTTTTTTTACATCAATAAAGTACCTAGCTATAACCCTGGGATTACTACTTGTGGAGTAAGCATGCAACCATACAGTTTCCGTACGATTTTAGTTTTTCATATGAATTACGTGCTGCATGAATTTGGGACGTCTTAAATGATTCTGAAGCCCTAGTAATACTCCTTGAGGATCTGGGATTCTGAGAAGGTACTGGCAGACAGTGATTTGGGAAACCGCCAAGCCACCTCGAATGGATTTCAGATGTATTAATTTATAGCCATAAAGCATCCCATGCTGGTTTAACTGCTCCTGCAGGAACAGTGCGATTTCCAGCAAGTCAGGGTGGGCTTTTTTGCCTTAACAATTCTAAGGACTTACTGCGCAATGCTGACAAACTAAAACAAATTCCATCCACATTGAGGAAACTCAGTATTTCCTAGAGTAGCATACCTAAAAGGAAATAAAAGCACATTAAAGCCGACAGCCCATCCATTGTTCATGTTTCATGTAGCGTAGCTCAGCAATGATTTTCCTTCATGATCTCCTAAATATGACATATTATCTCATAATTATGACATCTCGTATCAGGATCTCATAATTACGAGATCTGTTTCTCGTAATTATGAGATAAGCTGTCACATTTTTTTTTCTTTGGTGAATGCAATACCCTTCCGTAGTATTGAGATTGCGGTTGCTAAAAGGTTGCAAGCAACCTTTTAGATTGTTGCATATATGGTTTAAAAAACAAACAAACTCAGAAATCATATCTAATCACATTTATGTAATTATTAACAACTTTTGCTTTATATTTTTTCCACCTTTGGCAACAGTTAGTCTCAAGTGATTTAAACATGATACAGCAAGCTTTGCAGATGTACTTCAAAACAGTTTCACCCATTCCTCTCTGCCTTATATCTGGAGCTCAAACAGGTCGAATGTGGGATGTCTGTGTGCAGTTTTTTTTTTTCTTTTTTTTTTCTCCAGAGATGGCTATATCAGTATGTTCACTTTGGGGAGTTATAGGACTTTTTAGGACTTATTGTGGGGACCAACAACTGGACCTCATGAGGAGTAGTTACCCCCATTGGAGTAGGGGTAGGTAGAAATGAGGTAATTTATTTTAGCCTTAATTATGGGCAATTTTGTGCAGTAGTAGTACACCTTTCACACACATGTTCACATTTCACAAATCACAGATAAAAATAAAAGAAGCACAAGAGACACATAAATATTTAAAAAGATAAAAGTAAGGTGGATAAAAGAGAC